AACCTTCCTTCTCTCTCTGCTTCATCACACTCCATCTTCGTGATAACCGTCCTCTTGGAGTTGCTTTRTTGGCTTCGCATTTTCCACTGCAGACCAAAGGCCCGAGCGGGATGCGGGCAGGCACCAGCAGAGCTGTGACAGCGCTGTGGTTAGTGCTGCACGTTAGTCCTGGCTGCTTGGGTGGAGATGTCCAGGCTGGAGGCTGCCGCAGATGGAGTCGGTGCTAGAGGCTAAACCTGCTGCTAGGGAAACYCGAAGCAGATTTTGCAGGAGAAAGTTGTATTACAACCCATTGATATGAAAAACAAAGTGGGCCTTTGTTCTGAGAAATAATTCTGTACAACCAAGTTCTGTTTCTTCTGAATTGTCTTTTTTTTGAGCAAACTTTGAATCAATTGATCATTACCTTCTATCTCCTCATAAATACTGAAATGTGTTAGTGGTGGAGAGAGAAATACCTTTTCTTGCGAAGGWTATATAGTCCCCTGTCCTTTTCCCCACTGTTTTCAGCATCGGCATTGGGGAGATTTTTCACGTCCAGAAAACTCATTCTGGATTTATTTTTCTCGATTTTTTTGAGGAATTATAGAAGTTTTTTACTTCTTGCATGACATGATGCCTTGCAAAGAGACCACCATGGTCTGCCATGCAGTCGGTGCTCTCCTCTCTTTCCACTCGTGTATGGGGAGGAACAGGCTTAGGCCCAGCTYGGGGGCAAGCAGCAAAAGCATCGCAGCGCCCAGCAGGGCCACAAGAGCTGGGGGCTGTGCTGGCTGACCAGCATCAGGCAATATGTGTGCGCAGGCAGCAGTAACAAGCAATGAGCTCAGGGCCTGAGGAGGGCCCGAGTGGCCCAGGGGACATTTGGGAGTGCAGCTGTTCCCAAACCCCAAATTACTTCTCCAGATCAGGGAGTGAAGCCTGAACMTGGGGTGTTTAAGGAGACGTGTGCTTGGTCCAGCTCTCCTCCTCTTTKGTGATGAGGTGCCTTCATCCGCAACCGAAGGCAACTCACTTCCCTGCCTGCAGCCTTCCTGCTAGCAATAACTTCCCGGCGCTGCCTGCAGGACGTGCAGGGCACATCTGCTCCGCTTCCTYCGGCGGCGGGTGCATCAAAGGGCTGGCTGCACTGCTCTCCACGTGGGATGCGTTAGCGGCGGGAGCGTGTGAGTAATTAAACGGCAGCTCCTGGAGCGAAGTGCGCAGCTTTCCGCACGCCACGCAGGGATGGGGCTCTCCCCTGCCTCGGCCTTGACCTGCATGGAGCTGCCCTGGATGCGGTGAGGAAAGCTGCCCGTTTGTGGAGCAGCAGCTTCTGAGATGGGTTTTCAGTGGGGTTTCAACCCGTGAGGAAAAGCACAGGGCGATGCCAGAGGAGAGTGCTGTGGGAGGACAGCATATCTCATTAAAAGTCATCTGGAGAAAATGAGCCAGAATTAAGTGCAGATTTTGCAAGGCGGCTAATTGTGTCATTAAGCCTGATGGAAGCCAAAGGGCAGGCAAGTATCTTGTGTGAGAGAGATGCTAAAAAATACTCAGACCTGGGGACYAGCCATCCACGGACCATGTAGAGCAGGGAGCAGAGCTGCTTGGAGGCAGCGTCAGCTCTGCCTTACCTGGCGCTTGCTCCTCACTGCAAAGCTGTTTGTCCTGCAACGTGCAGTGGTGATGATGGAGAGAGCAGGAGGCAGCACGGAGCCTGATATAATGGCTTCTCTGAGAAAGCAGGAGCAGAGGAGACTCATGCTCATCACATGTCTGGGGAGTGGGGGGGCAGCAGACGTTTTGGTCTCACATCCCAGGAGAGCAATGGTGTGAGCCAGGTGGCTAAAGCTTCAGACAGCACCTCTAATGCAAAGGCAGCAGATAAAGCAGTGAAGGTTTCAAACAGAAGTTTTCTTTTTGTTTGCTGTTTTGTTTGTCAAAACCTTCCCTCCTGCCATGATGCAAGCACACAGTGGGATGGAAGAGCTGATGGGGCTCTTCATGGATGCTTGCTGCCAGGAATCCTTCAAGATTGCTTCTCTTTGCCTTTCTTGAGACTTTTTTAATCCGTAGACCCCCACCTTTCCACCACAGGCCACAGATGTGCYCAAGCTCCAACAATATGGGTCCGGAGCATGGGTTACACCTCGCAAATGGCTCATGCTTTGCTGCTTATCACTAGTGTGATCTTGACCTTGCTGCCTCAGCTGCTCTGCTGACCTGCCACCAAGTACTGCATCACCGTGGCTGTGTCAGGGGGAGACTTTCTACAGTTCCCCAACAATGATCTATTATTCAGCTTCCTTTTTTTCTTAAAAGTAGAGCAAGCCGCAAGGAGGGAAGAAAGACACAAATCCCAAGCCGCCTTTCTAAACCTCAGCGGGCTACCAAGCCGAGATCAGCAAGCCTAAGGTGTTTAGATTTGTTGAGTTATTAAACCATCATCTGTAAGGATAAATAATCGCTGGGGCATTTCCTTTCCCCTATTTTATTTATGCCATGACCCCCAGAGGCTTTAGATAAAAGCTGCCCCAGCCTAGGCAGAGAGTTTTTGAGAGCAGACACTGCTGGGAAGAACGCAAGCAAGTCCTTGCATAGGACTTGGGATCTAGGTCTGTCATGAGTCTCCTTGCTCTTGTTATCCTGCTGCTGTGTCTCACTTTACTGACTGATTTCTTTTCTGGGACACATTTAAAAAAAATTAATAATTTTTTGAAAAGGTGAAGCCATGGGCAGGGGCTCAGCTTGTGTTTATAAACTGCACTTTCATTCAGAGCCAGAGGAAGAGTCATCTGCTCTGCAGACCGGATTCAAAGGGTTCTCCTGCRTTCCTCCCATTCTTGGCTGAGCTGACTAAAGAAGCGGCAGAGACCACCCTCCATCACCCCTCCAAAGCCAGGCCCAGACACAGGAGAAAGGTGCCATAACAAGCGCTTGACTGGGGATCTGACAACCACTTCTTGGTGTCTTAACAATATCTGCCACTTTGTCTTACAGTGATGCAGAGAAAGGGGAACTACATTAAAAGGTGAAGTCAGTAAAGAATGACATTTAGAGGAAGACAGGAAAAGCAACTCGCATACTGGAGCCTAAGGGCAAATTCAGTAGCTCCTGCATCTTAGCCATCTCTGCCAGTTCAGTTGGAAAGACTCTTCTTAAACTCCTGCTCCTTTTTCAGTGCAGTTATCTCCTATGCCGAATGACTCTTTCCCAGGAAATCTCTGTGCAACTGAAGCCTTCCTAGTGTTGTGTACACAGGACAAACATTGTGATGAAAATATTTCTTCCATTTGGTGGGATGTTAGTCAGATGAGAAAGATTAGCCACAGTCAAGGCTGAAGAAAATAGTTAGCAAAGCTTCAGACTTGTCTGTGTAGCTTCTAGGAGAAAGAGGTCTGTTTTGTTTCTACTTTGTTATTTTTTTTTAAAGAAAGTTTGCTATCAAAAAAAGAATGGAGAAGGGATTTTCCCCATTCCCAGAGTGGGCATCTGTTCTTGTACCTCATTCCCAGAATGAGTTGTGACGATGCTCAAGGACACAATGGCTTTAGATGAAGAACTACAGTAATGTCCACAATTTTGAGAGGCTGCCAATATTTCAGTGTTCAGTAGCAGAGGTCCAGAAGGTCAGGACCTTCTAGGTCATGTTGTTCTGAAGGGGCTGRATAGTCTAAGTTTGTCCTGAATGCAAGGAACCACATTTAGTTCAATGCAAAGAAGAGACTGGGGGCAAGCTCATGATCTCCTAAGATGCCTTTAGCTCATGTAGCCATAGAGCTCCAGTTTTATGTATCCATCCAAGTCTTAYATTTGGAGCTCTTTGCTTGAAGGCCAGGTCTGCAGGAAATGTGGCGGTAGCTGGTCTCTATAGATGGCTAGAAAAAGCAGTCCTCGGTGTGTTCTGAAAGGTCTCAGTTGCATCTATTTGATGRTAGATTCATGCTTGTGGAAAAAGAAAGGCTGCCTGGGATCATTTCCATTGCACAGAGGAGATGAGAGGTGCTTGACCTGATGGGGATGGAAGCCTGGTGGAAGGAACAATCTGAAAAACAAATGTGTTTTCCTTTTAAATATTGAAAAATGCACTCCTAGGAGGATTAATTCAACAGAATGGTGTATGTGGGATTATTCAGAGAAACAAGCAGGACTGAAATGGGAGTTCAGGCTGATATATCACATCTGCCCCCTGCCTCTTGATGGTTACTTCCTTGCAGAGCATGCTCATTCCTTTTCTCTATYTTTCTGGTTATAGACTCCCAAGAAGCAAAACAAAGCTTCATCATAGTGTCTGAAGGCTCATAGCAAAAAGCAATTGTTTTTTGATGCAGAGAGCAATGCAATATGTTGGGGTTTGGGATACAGATGATCCCTTGTGGTGCAAAATTGCATTTTTAACTGTTGTGGTGGCCACATGGTGATGAAATAGCTCCAGAGAACTCCTTCTCTGAGCTGGTGTAAATCAGTGCAGATTCCTCTGGGGCTGCACTGACTGATATCAGCTTTAGACCTRTCTCACCATTTGTCTGCCCCTTGCATTTGTATAGCAAAAAAATGAGTAATGTTTTGGAAAACAGAAGTGAACCTCATGTTCTTCAGCAGCCTCCTTGAAAGTGCTCACCTTGCATCCCATGCAGCTGTTCAGAAACAGCCTCTGCCTTGGCTGAGTAGACCAGCGATGCTGTAGGACTGGCACCAGTGTGGARGCAGTTGCAGACTGCTTTGGGATGAGGCCAGGGGTGAGAGCTTACATGCCTTCCAGCATGATGATGGAGTTTACCTCAGCTGCATGTGACACGTGAAGTRGTACAGGGTGCAAAGCTCACTTCATACCATAGGAAACTAGTTCTTGAGTTGTTGTAGAACAGCTTATGGAGCTGTTTCTGCTTTGTTACCACCTTCTGGTGAGTAAGTGTGGCTCAGCTTTTAAACTAAAGGWTTTTTTTCTCCCTGCTGAATATGTTCATCTCTTTATTCACTACTAAACTTTGTTATTGTCCCTGTTGTTGCAGGAATCCGTAATTAATGGGAATCAAAGGAGCCTGAACAGTGCCTGCTCAGAGCAAGCATGAATCAGAGGAGCCAAACTCAGCAGGTCTAGCTGGAGACCACCACAGTGACACRGTTGCACCGCTGAACAAAAACCAGGTGAGGTGTCTATCTTGGGCTCATCTCGGTTCAGTGGTGTCCCCCTTAACTGGATGTCACTTGGCTGAAGGAAAGGACCTGGTTAGGAGATGTTACAGTGACTCACTGTTGCCCTAATGGTATTAACATCACTGGCTGCAAAAATGAGGGAAAAAAAATGTGGGGGAAGAAGTAACGGAGGGGTTTAGATGTTTCTGTAGGATGCTAACTTTTAGGGAGCATGCTGGGGCTGAAATGTCCCTTTGGAGATGTGCAAAGGCTGGAGATGCCCGCCCAAGCTGGGTCTTTTTTGAAATGATGCTGAGCAAAGGTGAACCGCAGGCCAGGAGAAAGTGGCACCCTTTCAACCAAAAGCCTTTATTCCAGTATCTGCTTCCAGAAAACCTCAGCTTCCCAGGATGYGCTCTGCTCCCTGCCCTTTTCTCCTGCTCCTTGTCCCTGCCCTCACCTCCCTCCTGCTGCTGAGGTGAAGTGACTACACAGTAAATCCAGTAAAATATTAATGCAGAAGACTGCAGCCCTCCGCTAAAAAGCGTGGCCCAGAGAGAGGTCATTTGTCTGCAGATAGTTAAATCAATACGTTGCTGAATCACTCGGCAAATTGAATTGGTTGCTGGGGAGAGGGAGCCCTGTGCAACGTTAGCTCTTCRACACTCACTCTTCGGCCTCGCTGACACTAATGGCTCAGCACGGGCAGTGCTGAGCTCTGGCTGGGGGACACCATGTGAGGAGAAAGGGACAGGAGACCCTGGAGCCTGTGAGCCCGGTTGTGTCCGTCACGGACGTGCCAGTCACCAAGCAGACGCCCTGTTCGTCTCCAGTGGGGTGCCACACATCCTATGGGATGGTCATACCTATGTTTGCTCCTTGACTGTTCCTATCTCAGCCATATTGCTTTGCTCCTTGAATTGTGGATTTTTTTTTGAGCATGGCTGCAATATATCGTGTACTCAAGTGGAGTGAGCCTGGTACAGGGCATATTTCATTACCTCTGGGCTCTCGGCCATGCTAGACCCCAGTTTAACCCCTGGGCAGTCCCACAATGGTAGGTCATCGGATCTTTATCCCACAGGTATTTCCAGACGCTTATCTCCTTTAATCATAACTTGGCTGAGCAAGCCTTATTGAACTCCATGAATCCCTCCCCATAAATCACGTCCTCCAGACCCCTGTTGTTTGTTGTTAATCAGCTCCGAGCTTGCTCCGGCTTGTCAGCCTTTCTGGGCATGGCCTGCCRCAAGCTCAATGCAATCCAGATGAGATTACCCGAGTCCTGTGGAGACAAAGGATTTACTTCCCTGCTCCATGGGCTGGGGCCTGTCCCCACACAACTGCGCTGGCCTTTGTTTCTCTGCCACATTGCCTTGCTGTGGGACAGATCCAGGCTAATCCATCAGTGAGTCATGCTTCATAGGGAGCAGAAATAATGTAAAGAGATGGTTCAAAGGAAAGGAATTCTCTGCTTTGTACAGCTGAGCGGCGTAAGGCAACCAGCAAGGTCAGCCCTGGTTAATGTTGCTGCCTTCAGGTTCCCAYGTGTAACATTTGGGGTTGAATTTCCTCAAGTGACTTGTGTGGCTGGAGAGTAGGGATCATATGTTGGCTGAACTTGCTTTTAGAGAATTAAATTGYGTGAATATGCTTTTGGGTGAACTGCAGGATCTCGTGGCTGTGACTCARGAGATGTACGTGATCTTATGAGCCAAGGGTTGATATGTTCAAATCAGGCTGTGGCCTTAGCTTGTCTAGGGACTAGYCATGAATGTGAGGCAAGCACAGCCTTCTTGACAAAGAATAGATGTAGAAATATACCTACCTATTACATACATTTTTTTGTGCAATTCTTTTTGCCTTCTAAAGTTGCTCTAGGCCCCGCAATGCCATGAGCAGCATCTGTTGCTGCTCCTTACGCGAGGCAGAGCCACTTGCTGCGGGAGGTGCTCAGTCTGTGCRTGGGACACGTTGCCTGATCTCAGGGGACCTTCTGGCAGAGCTTGCTCCAGGTTCAATATGCAGAGCCAGTGGGGGAGAACAAATGATCCTCTCTTTCCAGGTGGGATGTGGGGGAAGGAAACCCAGAGTGTGCGGCCTGCTGTTTGCTTCAGGCAAACAGACCCCTTCATCCCACAGCATCCACGAGGGCTGGGGACCATGCACAGCGAGTGCCTTGTGAGAGGAACAGACATTGATGACAGTCCCTCTCTCTCGTTGGAGACAACATCTGGGTAAATAAATACCTTTGAGGGAGATCACAAGGAGGGAGATCAAAGTGAYTGGGTAAATGAAGGACCTTGTTGAGAGAAGGTGTCAGTCAAGAAGGACAAACTAATGAAARAAACAAAGATTGGTTGTGTAGCTTCTGAGGCAGAAATGGGGAAACAGCTGAGTCACCTCCGGAGTCTCAAACTAGAGTCATCTGTCCACAAGCAGTGTTATCCATCCTTAAAAGCCACTAAGTGACACTTGGGTCCGTGGTAAGCTTTGTTTTTATTTGTTTGTTTGTTTTAACCAAAAGAGTGCTTCTATGTCCTGTGGATAGYGAAGCTGGTGCCCTGCTGAGGTCCCCAGCAGAAGAGCGAGTCTGCTGTAAACACAGCAGGCACTCCAGCATGTCTGCATCAGCAGTGGCTGCTGATGACAAAATTGTAAGAAAATCAGGTCACGCAGCTATTGAGATTATAAAGTAATAAGGTTAATGAGGAAATAAAATAGGCCAAGTCACAAGTCCTTAGAAATAACTGCTCAGAGTGGTTAGTAAAGAAGGTGCTTATCCATGGAGACGGTGCTGACTGAGCTTTAGTGGAGTGCTACGTGTGTTAACTACGGTCAAAAGTGTTAGTGGGTAGAGTAGAGCTCAGTTCAGATGGATTTAACACACGTGCTGGGTGTTAAAAAGGAGGCAGAGCTCCAGGATTTGATAACGTGGCTGGGCTCCCGACAAGAATYCCCATTATCCACCTCTAGTTTTCAACTGTGAGTAGGACCATGTACCTTGGGGGATGGTCAAAGAAGTGATTGAGCTGGTTGAAGGATCCTTGTCTCGCACCTTTCCTGCCACCTCCTCCTGACCACGCAGCTCCATGAGTGCTTGTGTCTCCTAAACTCCCCTCCTTGCAAACTCGTGTAGTACCTCCCGTGCCCAGGGTGACTTTTTGACGTAACACCTTGAAAGGCTGTGAAAACACTTTTAAGACTGTCAAGTGCTCAGGTCATGAGGAAAGTAGGTCTATAGTCAAAGCCTTTCTTTCTCTTCTCCTATTTCTTTATATCAAAGTAACTATTTTCTATGTGAACTGATGTGGCTGGGTGTTGTGAGCAGGATTTCTTAAAGTAGACACTGTGTTATTGAGATCTCCCTCCATCTGTACTGTGCTTCCTTTAGTCTCACCACCTTGATAGACGAGGAGTGTTCTGGTGCAAACTGGTGGCCAGTTTTTCCATCTGACTGAGTTTCACACTTGGCTTGGGGAAAYGATCTTAACCAGGCAATGGGAAGAGAAAGGAAGCGGTGGGGTGTGCTAGAGCAGGACTTTCACACACTAATGAGTGAGCAGGCAAACTTGGCACTTTTTTTTTGGCTTTAAGTGAGGGGTTAAGCTTTGCAGAGCATGGGGATCTGTTGTTTCACATGTTATGTCTGTCTTCAAACTGGTTGTGCTGCTTGACAAAGTAGAATTTGCAGAGATGCATGGGCAGGTGCTTTTCCTTTCCCTCTCTCGGAGGAAGGCAGCGTAACTAAAGCTTCCTAGTGTATAATTAATTTTCATTGACTCTTCATGAACAATTATCAGTGGTGCAGAGGGCTATTAACTTAATCTATGATCCAAGACTTGTCAAAGTGAATATGAGCCTATTCATTCACTCCAGCAGGCTTTGAATCTTCTATAAAGAACTGCATGTGTTTTTAGCATCCAGACTCATGGATTTTCTTCCTGCACAATCTGATTTTTTAAATAGTTACCTTTCTTGTCTCACCCAACTATTTATACTCCAGCTGTCTAAACTCCATTCCTCTTTCCTGAGATGTTTTAGAAAGGGTTAGTGTATCTCGTTTGTTTTGTTGCATGAGGAGTTTAATTTCTCTTGCCAGTGAGTTTGTTTTCATCTGCTTCATGTAACCAGACTCACTGCAGATCTGAAATCCCTCTCTCCTTTCCCTCCACTAAAACCTTCCCTGCAGACAGACTGCATTTACTCGACAGTTTAATTCAGGCAGCAAACCAAAACTCTGAATTATTTCTCAGAGAAAGTTTAGCCGTTTTGTTGTCTGGCTCTTGGAAATTCAGGTAAATCCCATTCCTTAGCAAGGTGGCTCACACAGGAAAGTGGAGACTTCTCTTGCACTCTTGCATGCTCCAAAGGTGAGGGAAGGACAGGATCTAGGGAATTTTGCAGAGAAGAGCTGATTCGTGGTGAGGAAGCTGCCCCAATATGACAGCTCCTTCCCAAGCCAAGTCTTCTTGACTGCTGTTGACTTTGTTTCAGTATTTCTCCCTCTCACTCTATAAAGGTAGACTGGAAACCTTTGAGAAAAGGCTTTTATTTTTTTTCCCCAAAATTGCTAAGCCTTCCTGACAGGTTAATGGTTTTGAACTTCCTTCTGCATCCTAGTTCTAGGTCTATTCAGAGCCTGGAAGAGCAAAGCCAGGTGAACTTACTTAAAAGGCAGTTTGTTGATGGATTGAAAACCTGGAGCTCTGTGAATGCCTGAGCTGCTCTTCYCATCTCTAATCAGGGCGGCTGAGACCTAGGGGGTATGAGGCCATGGTGATAACCATTGTCTGTGCACATAATGTGTCTGTGTATGGGAGGGGACTTTGTTTTTTTTAAAGAGTAACTTATATCACTGTATTTTTCATGACAAAATGAACCTTTTGCAGATATGCTGATCTTAAAGTACCGTGGATGAAGCACTACATGTAAGAGAGATGATCCAAGCTCTTGCCCACGGTCCATGCAGAGCCCACTGTGCAACTGCTTCCAGAGCTGGGGTGGCATTCATTTTCAAGCAGTGCAAAGAAAGCCATGATGAGTTCAGAGCCCCCCAAGGGCTCTTAAAAMTCCTGGCTACCAAGTTCTGATGGCTTTCTCCCTCCCTTCTGTAAATGTTTCCTTTTCTTTGATCTCTGAGAAGAGACAGCTGATATAAATGAGGAAAAGCCCCCTTGCCAGGGCTTCAGGCCTGCCTTATTACCCTGGTAAAGCCTGTGTTCAGGAGAGCACGAGCCCACCCTTTCCCCTGATGTGGGGATGGTCAGTGCAGTCACTTTCCTGAATTCTTTTTTTTCTCCTCCCTGAACTGTAAGACATGCAAGAAAGGACCCCAAGCCAAGATCCCTGGAGACCAGTAAACTATTGTCCTGAAAACAAAGGGACTTTCCTCAAATGTACCAGCAAGAATTGGAAGTGCCCAAGAGCTTTGACTTCACACTGCATCAGGCTTCCTGATCTTTTCCAAGGTATTCATCTGGTCTGACAGCTCTGCAACTTAAACTGCTAACTCTTGCTGATTCTCCCAGCACCAGTAATGTCCAGGGCACACGGTGAATACCATATGTCCACATACTCCACGATGCAGGAACAAGAGAAGATTATGAAGGAATACTGCAGGACGTGCCCATACTTCCACTAGCATTTTTGGAAGGGAGCATCCTTTAATTTTCATTTTGTTTGGAGAAAGGGAGAAGGAAAAGGATGTCTTAAGTCAGCAAGAAYGTTAAAACCTCCACAGAGCAGTTCTCATACACTGCCACCCACTAAACTTGTCAGAACCCCTGTACCTCAGACTAACCTGAGTGGGGAAACAGAGATTTCAGACACAACGTGCAGTTAAGAATGTGATTCCATGTGTCTTATCCAAGTTTCACCATCACGGATACYTGCTTCACAGGGAAGTAGAAAGCTCAGATTGAGAGTTGTTCAAAACCTCCTGGGGTTGTCCAAAATTGGAAATGTGGATGCCTGCTTTCCTTATCCCAACAATCCCGAACTGAAGAGAGATTTTTTTCCTAGGAGGTACTGGCCTTTCTCCAAGCACAGGAGARCCAGATGGAGCAGTAACACAGCTAGATTTGGGAAAGGGGGAGGAAGGATCCGTTAAGAAGATGACTTGAAAATAGGATCATGTAAAGCAGCTGTTGCTTCAGGAAACATTTGCATTGGTAATTCCAGAAAGGGAAAGTGGGGGGCTAATGTAGAAATTGGGTCCGAAAACCAGATGTGTTTAGACTGTATTTGGAAGATCAGGTCAAACCTAAAGACAGCAAGAGCAAGCGGAGGGATCTGCCTGTTAAACAGTATGAATGTTCCCCTGTCTGGTTTCCTGATGGACCCCACTTTGCGCCAGTTTGAGGCAGCTCAAAGAAGCAGCACCTTTGCTGCTGCAGCCTTCAGTATGGAGAATTCTGAATTTTTCCAGACAGCATCATCTCCAACATGTTACCAGAGCTGTCTCTTCTGTATATCAATTCTCTGTGATGGAGATATGGAAAGACACATTAGGTAACTGTTTATATAAGTGACCTGACGTGGGTTCACCTTCTGTTGAGATTTCACAGCTGTGAAAGCCCTCGTGCTGTCTTTGACCTGTGACCAATGCAGATATCTCCTGCACTGCCCCAGTCCAGCACTGTGTGCTGACTTGTACAGACCATAGCACTGCGACGAGTAGGAGCTCTGCATCTGCATTCCCACTAAGGTATTTGCTCCACGGATTGCTATGGAGATGGAAGCCAGTGTGATGGGCATCGTGCAAACACAGTGAGACAGTCTGTGTCCTCAGGGACTCAATATAAACTCGCGGAGTGCGTGTTTTGTTAGAGGTTCCAGGCACAGATTTCCCATTAACACCATCAAATGGTGCTGCTGCTTAATGCTCTGAAAACTGATCTCACTCTTAGGACTAGTCATGAGAGGGAAGAAAAAGAACTCARGGAGGGTTAGTGTGTGGAGAGAGCTGTTCTCCTTCCCCCCGTCAAGGACAGAAACCCTCCTCTACAGCCTGGCTGTAGCAGTATTTTATGATGGTTGTGGCTTAGCTACCAAAAACCTTGTTGCCCATTCATTTTCCTTTTACAGCATATTGGCACATTTTATGCAGGACTTGCACCTTTCTATCTGGTTATGAATAACATGCTGCAGGAAACTTTGGATTCAAGGCAAGTCCTAAACACAGTCCTAGGAGGAACTTAATCTTTAGCAATATTAGTTAGTGCAAACACCAAGGAGACTGTTTACCCGTTGTGCTGACATAACAGCCTGGCAGATCACACACACAGTGAGCAAAGCTATAACTCACAAGCACAGCATATAGTTTATGTAATTATGCCGTGACAGCCATTGGCACAGAGGCTGGGATTTATGTTCTGGCGAATGTCTAAAAAAGTGACTGTAGGAATTCAGTCTCCTTGGTGACAAAAGCAACAAATGGAAAATGTACAAAATAAGAAGCTAAAACCTTCCATGGACCCTGCTTTTATTTTCAGAGTTGAGAACAGTAAACCAGCTTGTGTCTTGGAAGACCCGGTTTCATATCCACAGAAATGGCTGGCTTGCAGATGATACCTCATTCATTCTTTGGTTGTTCACAGTGTATCCTGAAGGAAAAGGACTCCAGATTTACCAATGACAAAATGARAAGAAATCTAAGCCTGGAGGACTAGTGACAAGATAATCCTTCACCTCTCAGTCAACTGGTTCGTATCTGATAGATGCCTAGAGCAGCAGTCATCGTCAGTGGGAAGCTGCTTGATGCCTTAAGTGAATTGCATTGACTTTTTCCTTTCAAACAGATGATTGCTTTCATTGGAGACTGTGCTAGTAGCTGATAATTGGGAAACCCTCAGGGGCTGTCACAGCTGCAGAGGATGGGTGGCAAAACCATGCAGATGCAAAAAAAAATGCACACTTGGGAGGAAAAAAAAAGGGAGGGGAAAAAAAAAAAAAAGAAAAAAGCAGCAAAGCCGCTACCCAGATGTTTCAGTAGCAATTGCTCTGAGCTTGGCCTGACTGGTGTCAGGCCCAGCAGCAATGCTGGGAGAGGGCCGGAGGCTGGCTTCCTTCAGCCTCGCTTCTTCCCTCTTTCCTCTAGGATACCCTGGCTCCTCTGCACATGGTGCTAGGATGATTCTGGGCTGTGGCAGACAGATGACAGCACTTCACTGAATGATGCCGGCCCCCCTGACCTGTGGAGATTTCCTTGAATGAAGGTGAGAAGGCTCTGAGGTTGCCCACAGGTTGGGAGCATCTCATGATGAGTGTTTATCTAATAGCCCTGCTGCTCGGAAGTAGAGGCTTTGACAGTAAGGGTCACTTTTACTACCTGCCAGGAGTAAAGCATTCTAATAAAGACATTGTAGATATGGGTTTTTTGGGGGTTTGGTGCTGTTGGTTTAGGGCCATGAGAGCAGTTCTGACCTCTGTTTGGTGCCTTCTGGAGGTGACTTCATCTTTCTGGGTCACTGCTGGGCCGAGAGCCACCTGCATGGCCGGAGTGCAGCACAGCCTCCACAGAGAGCTCTCCTGCGAAACGAATGCCCTGACAACCCCAAATCAAAACATTTTTTTTGCTCCAACTCAACAGGCTAGACAGAAAGATTAGGTTTCCCAGGTGGAAAATTTCCCACCAAAAATATTGGAGTCCTGTTTTCTTTCTGATAATGAACGTTGTGACCCTCTCTCTCCCCAAGTTATTCTAGCAATGTGCCGGGATCCTAATTAAGGCTGAGCCCAGCGGCTTTCTGCATTGTGCAAACACATGGGAAGACTCCAGCCTTCTCCAGAAAGCTTCTCATCTAGTTTGGTTTAGGCAAATGCATCCATTGAAAGTTTTTTTTAAAACTTCTTTTTCCAACAATGGTACAATGGAGGCTTTCATCTCTACCTCTTGTGTGTATTCCAGTGTCATGCCCTCTGCTTTCAAAGGCTTAGGTTTGCCTTTAATTGTGTTGAGAGCCTTTGTCTCTAAGCCTTTAATAATGGATTTTTCTCTGCTGCTAAAAGAAGAATTTTGTTTCTTTGCTGGCTTTTCTTCTAAAGCTAAAGTGACAGTTCCTTCTTCACGGGGAGATTTACAAAGCTTATCTTTTAATTTTCAAGAGCCAAACAGCAAARGGAAGGGGGGGTGGGTAGTGAAACGTCAGTGGGCCTTTTAAGCATTGTCGCTAGGAGAAGGCTTAATGAGCTAGAAATACATAAACTGCAAACTCTTGGGGTTGCTTGAAATTAGTTACACTAAACTGCTGCTCCCTGCGGAGTCATGCCAAAGTCTGGGGCAGGCAGGAGGGGTGACGCCAGCACTCTGCTGCAGGCTGGCCCGTGCTGAAGCCCCTCTTTGCCATTGGAAAGGGCACCTTGGCACGGCRCTGCAGAGCCCTGGCTGCTCGTGGGGCTCACCCTGGCCTGTCTGCACGCACGGTGGGGCAGGAAGGGACAAAGCAGCGTATTGTCATTCTTGGAGGGCAGGGAGGGTGTTGAAAGTGCTTGGTGCCAACTCTTTGTGTTGGTTCAGTGCTGTCTGCGATCCTCTTAGACACAGTGCAACCCTTATCTCGTGTGTCCGGTCCCGTGCTGGGAGTTGTGTGTGTGGACTAGTAGAGTAGACACCATTGAGGGTCTTCTGCACTGCAGGACTCCTCTGCTTGGAGGGCTTCTGYGCTGAAGAGCTCTCTAGCGTGGCCAGGTGAGTCTCCCCATGCACTTTGTGCAGGGAATTGCTGCTGGCATTGAGGCCAGGGATGGTTAAGTCCTTTGCTTCCACTGTGGAAAATAACCTCTATTCAGTATGAGGTACAATTGTGCCATGCAACTTGGGGTTATCTCCATGTATTAGAAAGCAAGCAAAGACAGACCTCTTGCCCATTCTGCTTTAAACTCTACATTGTCACATTGGCTCTTGTGACTCAAGGGATTTGTGTGAGGATGTGCGAAGTCCYCAGAGGATATTGAACTGTGTGGACATACCTGTCTGAGGAACTGGTCCTGGTCTTCCTCTTGTGCTGACCAATAGTAGAATTTGCTTGGTGCTTTATTTGGTGGGAACASCAAAAGTAGAAAGAGTTGCTCTGTATCTGGTTCTCAGTTACTGTGTTGGGGCAGCTTGCCTTGAAGTGCTGGACTCCAGAGCATATCAAGTACAGCAGAGAGCGCTGGAAAAACCCACTGCCTTTCAGGTTATAGGAAAAAACACTGYTCTGAAACTTCATTTTGGGGCTGTCTTAGGCATGGGCAAAGTTTCTGGTGACCAGGATGTTCCTCAGCTGTAGACTGCAGTGGATGTCTGTAACAGAGCGCTCCCAAAGACCTGGCAGGTTGTCTTTCCYTGTCCCGGCAAGTCACCATGAATGGAATGCTTTGGTCTTAATCMTCCACCATATCCTAATGAAACTGCTTAATCTGAAACCGTGACCATCTCTGGGGAGGGCTGTGAGGCGGTGTGAGCTCAGCGCACATCTTCACGTGAAGCACAGCAAGCGCCACACTTAACAAGAACCACCGAGTGCTGYCAATCCTACATGCAGAGAACTCACAAGGAAGGCTAAATAATCAGAACTGCCCTATTTCTGGTTCTCTTCTCCAATTCCAATTTGAGAGAGACACGCGAGAGACCTCTTTTTCTTAACCTTTCTTCTGCAATGATGTTGCAAGTGGTCAGACTTTCACTATGGGAGCCATGGGCTGTGCTGCCATGGGTTGCCTGCTTCATCCTTCCAGGTGGTTTGTCCTTATCCCAGGCCGTGACAGGGCAGGTGGAGTGGCGAGCCTGACCTAGCTTTTGGGGATACTAATCTAGGAAGGGAGTTCTGGGCTGAATRCAGCATCATGGGCACATCAAGCCATGCTCTGCTGAGAGCAGCCTGTGTTCATGTCACGCATAGACAGCAAATGTAGGGCTGGTTGCCTTCAGCAGGACCTTCCATCCACTCCAGGCTCCATTCATGCTGTAATACTGCAGTGARCAGCATGGCATAAATCTCTAGGCAAACAGCTGAGTATTGTCATCTCAGTAAACGTCAAAAAATGGACTTCCCAGAAGATGCCTTTCACTTTAAATAAGTATGAAAGCATCCTTCTGTCTGTCTCAGCCGCCAGCTTCTGCAGAGATCCAGGCAAAGCCAACCTGCTCCGTTAGCTGCCAAGGCTGTCAGCTTTCCAGCCTCTCTGTTGGCTCCTTCTCTGGAGCACCCTGGTGTGTGTCTGAGTGCTGTGCTTTGTGCAGGGTTTTGGGGTACACGGAGCACTGGATTAGGCACAAGAGGGACAGGACCTCCAGCTCAACACTGCCACTGTGGGCCCTGTTCTTTGAACCTCTAGTAGGCAGCTCCCAAGAGCTGTCCAGTCCGATAGAGTGAGGCAGAATGGATTCTCCCTTGGGTGGGAAAAATCTGGAGTGAATCCTCCCTCTGGGGACAGCTGCCACTGGTCAGGAGGTGAGGCTGCTTGTTCTCCAGGAGGCCACTGCTGCCACGAGTCCCTTCAGCTTGACAGAGCTCATGAGAGGCGGATGAAAGACTCAGCTCCACAGCCTCCACCGAGAGACTCCTCATGTCAGGAGAAGACACAAGGAGAGTTACATGCAGGGCAGAAGAGGCCAGGCCTAGGAAGATCTTCTAGGCACAAGGTGTTGCCTTGGCAGGAGCTAGCGTGTAACTGGGAGATAGCTGTGGGTTGGAAGGGGGATCAATGATTACATATCAGATGAGGGTGCTAGCAAGCCATAGGATGTCTGATACCCCTCCCAAATCCTTAATAGCTTTATTTAGGTGAGTTCAGCTCATTTTTCCTCTTCTTCCTCTCCAGGATTGGAGGCATGGAGGAGCGAAATACCAGATTCTGTAGTCTGTGTAGCTCTGTGCCCTCTGAAGCTGCAAGGATGTTCTTGCTGAGGTCGGAATGGTTGTTGCTACTGGGAGGCTGGATTGTGCTGTGTCTCCAGAGAAGTACAGCTCGGAGCCAGGGTCCTTGCTCCCAGCCACAGCCATGCACTGTACAAATCCTCCTTTCTTCTGGCCCTGAAGAGGCTTCAGCTTTTAATCTCCAAGCAGACATTTCAAAAAAAAAAAAAAAAAAAAAAAAAAAATCATTTCTGAAAGCGTGAGAGATGCTGCTTTCATTTCAGAGGGAAGAAACTCATTTTGAAACTTCAAGAGCTTCCATGAAATGGAATAGTCATCTGCCAAGCAGCTCTGATGCCTACATGCCTTACACTAATCATGACGAATTCTCATCCCAGCCTGACATTTGTTATGCATTGCCATTTGTGAATATTGGGATGTTAGCTGAAATCCTCATTTAGCAGYGCAGGGTGCACTTGCAAGTCTACAATGACTCCATTGCATTTTTTGTGCTTAGGCTTGTTACTCTAAAATCACACRATAATATTTAGCAAATAACACTCTTATCAGCTTGTGCTTGAGGCCTGGGTTGTTTTTCTCATCTTGCTGCCTAAAAGTACTTTTCTTCCTGTCTTCCCTTTTTCTCTCCTCACACCCTGCCTCATTTTGCACTTCACTTTTCCTTCCTATGCACAAAAAAAAAAAAAAACCAAACCATGAGCCTGGCCAAACCTCCAGCCTCCTCCAGCATTGCTGTTCTAGATCTGATCATTCAAGCTATCGAAGCGAATCAGTAGGAATTCTTCCTCTCCACAGTCATCTTCYACAGTTGCGGTGGGCTCCAGTAAGCCTAAAGAAGCCCCTTTCCACTTGCYTGTGCTCCAGACCCCTTTCCAGGTGAAATGAGGAGGAGAACACCCATTTGAAGCCAGCTCTTTCATCAGCAAGTCCAAGAGGACGTTTGGTGCAGTGGTGGGCTGGACCAGCAGGACAGTGGCTTGCRCTGCAGCCTTCTTGAGGGCAGCACCATA